TCGATGGGCTGAATTGCACAAAACGCATGATCGCACCGGCTAGTCTGGTGCGCGTTGCCAATTATTTCCACATTTGCACCTCACGAGGGGATTAATCTTGATAAGAAAATATCACAGGAACTACAAAAAGGATTCACGGAAATGTGCAGTACCAGTGATTACTGACAACACTTTCGCGTGAATTCAAAAAACTATACTCCAAGAAAAGCTAGCCTGATTAATCTATTTTGTTATTTTAATTGTTTTTATTTCTGACTTCTTCTTGCCCATTTTTCCATACACCTAGTTCGTACTTATAATTTTTAACATACTTCTAATTAGTCCATTTTCTTTTAAAACAATTCAAATTATTTTAAAGCATAATAGAGATTCTCTTGTTGTTACTTATTTCGTCTTCGACAGTCAAATACCAAATTTTGGTGCTCCAACTGGTCAGCAAAGACCACATCAAAATCCTACACAACTGACGAAACTCGCATGGGAGCATCCACACTTTGGATTTTCTCCACTGGCGGAAAAACAGATGTACATCGTCTGGCCCGACTTGAGCTCTTCGCATCTTATTTCTCTCGCTCTTTAGGTACACCTCGTATGTTTTCCTGAGCGGATACGCTGCCCGTGTTTGGAATTTATGGTGATATTTTGCAGGCGGCCAGAATTACGAGGAGGCGATGAGCTTTATTAAGCTAAAATTCAGTGAGTTGAATTTGAATCCGGATAAGAAAACAATTTACATGCACGAAACGTGCGCAACGGATACGAACCAAGTGCAGCTGGTGATAACGAGTGTTATCGACACCATCATCCAGAAGAACCTGCAGAAGGCTGGCATGATGTGACTGAGACTCCTCGATCGTTATTGCTCCTCTTATTTAAACATTATTTTTAACTATAATTAAACAAAATGCGATTTCTCGATGTTGGAAAGTGCACTCGGACGTGGAAACGAACCCGATGCGGCACTTCCCCAGCGATACGCATTTTGTGACGACTCCGGTGTGCATGCGTGTCTGTCTGTCTATCTGCCCGGGTATTTCAACTCGGCAGCCAAGTTCCACGCTGAAATTTTGCCAGTGGCCGGCCAGTCCACCCCAAAACCGCGATATCAATCCTCATGAATGTCTGAGCCCTGAGTACGAACATGTGAAAGTTTTGGCAGGAAAATCGCTAACTCGGGAACCAAAAAAGCTGGAAGGCTAGAATTTTAAGCTGTTCCCAGCTTTCATGCAACTTAAAAGTCCCCAGGCATGCGTGGTCCTCATGTACGACCCCGTGAAATTTTTTGACGGAAAAATCGTTCACCCGGAAACCAGAGGAGCTGGGGAGCTGAAATTTTAACGGAATGTCGCCTGTCCAAGTACCACGTAATTGCACAATTAACTTTCTGAACTTGTAGGTCCAGTATGTTACAAATTCCCGCTACTGGGATTCCAAGCGATCTCAATACAGCGCGAAATACTACAAAAATGCATGACCGCGCGGGTCTGCGTGGTGCGCTTCACCAGTGTTTTTAATCATATTATAGCAGCGTACAGCTACGCCTTCAAGCCCACAATCAGCCCTACATATTGAAGTCACGTAGTGTTTTGAGGAGGCGGGTTTTTTTTTTGTTTCCTGGCCTAGAAAGCCGATATCTCTCGTTTTATGTTGTCAAATGTTTTGTAACATATGCGCGTCTCGTATTTTGTCTCTGATGTGATTGATTTTCCCTCTAATAATGACCAAATCTGGAGACCGACCAAATCTCGAAACACTTGACAGTTGCTGAGAACCACTGGCCTGTTTTGCCCAAACGTTCCCATCAATTTCCTGCTGGTTTATCATTTATTGTTGGTTTGCACATCACACCTCCAGTTGACTCAAATACTCATTTCTGTCTTTTAGTTCTGACATGGAATTCATCAGTTATAACTCAGCAAGCGACTTCACCGTCCCCACATTAGTGCACGCTACAGTGATGTGCCTATATGTAAATGGTCATTTGCCGCTGGTCAGAACGGATTAACAAGCCACGGCTCCTTTTCCTTACATGCCCACCCTGTAAAAAGACTTGAGGCTAAGCTTTATCTTCTGAGATATGCTACTAATGAAAATATGCTAGTAATGAAAATATTCTGTGCTACACAAACACAGGCGAGCATGATATTAAAATTGCTCAGCCCGGTTCAGTGTAGTGGCGCAAAATGTGCTCCTTCGTGGGGCTGAAGGAGAGTTACAAAATCCATAAACGTAAATAATTTGCCAATGTTTCGGGCTTTGTTTCAATGAGATTTTGGAGTGAAAAAAAAATCAGCTATGAGGTTGCTACACAAGCCACACGGCTATTTTCTCTCTCCAAAATCTCACAGAAACAAAGAATTCGAGATGCTAGCAAAATTGCATGCGAAGCTACCGGTGCTCGAAGAAATCAAAAACAGGAAAAACGCATGTGCACCTGCTTTCTTCTAATTTCAAAATGATTAAGAAACATATTTTGAATTTAAAAATTCTTTTGCTATTGCATGACCATTGCCCGTGCTTTAATTTTGCAGTTTGGCTTTATTGCCGGCAATATCGTTATGTTTTCGATCAATTAGTCGGATCTTTGTTCAAATTCCTTTTAGGCTTATGATGCTAAGTAAAAAATTTGATGCTGAGTGGAAAGCTAGCAAGACTAAAAGACTTTCCAGCTTTAACTCGGCATCTTATTTTTTTGCGAAGTTGGGTTTGTTTCACACACGTCGTGCCCGGGGAGATTTGAATGGTCACTGAAGGCTATTAAGGATTTTACAATGAAAACTTCTGTGTGCACTTCTCCGACCTCAGAAATACTTTTAATCCATGACAGGGCATTTATTATTTATTAGGCATTTAGTATTTAGTATCATTTAGTATTTAGTCTGTCTGAGCATTTGGTAATGCGCCGAAATCAGTAAATTAGTCAGTCCGTTCATGAGCGATCACGGGACAAGCTGTGCTTCTGCGCAGCAATCTCTGTTGCCAAGGCTACATGGGCTGAATCTGATGAAAGATATCTCGAGCGATGCTGACACCTGCAAATAAAATAATCTGTTACACCTGGCTATCCCTTGGTCACTTTTGCTCGCTGTTCACCGGCAATAGCTCGAATGGACAATATGCAGGCTTATTGGACAAGCGAGGGATCTGGAACAAGTATGCGTGCTGCTACAACTCCAAAACGTCGAGGGTTCCTTACTGGAAGTTTGGGCAATCATTTGATATTGCGAAGCGATATCAGCTAATCTGTGTTGAATAAACATTCGCTTTTTAGGGATTAAATCAAAAAAAAAAAAATGTGACCTTCGCAATGGCACCTCCATTGTTGAAAGATCTGTGCAGTGATGAAGCGGAGTATAAAGTTATCATTCGGCCTTCCGCGTTCACTGAATAACCATCCACCAGCTTAAAATTTTAATATATTGCCAAGTTTGTTAGATATTCGCTTTCCCTATCAATTTTAGTAGCGAAAATCTGTGTCCTTTTTGAGCTGGCCATCTTACTCATGACTTATCTCCTGGTCACGGATATCCACTGTTTATATCTCCAACATTTTCACAACACTTGCTTCTGTAACCTACTCCCCAACCCCTTTTAAATCTTAATTCGCCATCAAGAATTCTCACTTGTTTACTTTCCTTCTCTAAGAAACAATATTCTTTTCCTCGTCTATTTTACGTCATCTGAGTATCCGCCCGGGGAATAGGAAGACTCCTTCTTTTTCAGCGATGAATCTCCTGGCTTCATACAAATCCCAGCACTTCGGCTTTTTCTCCATCTGAATTAGTGATAAGACTCCAGCACTGCACTTTCATCAGTATCTCCCGAAGTCCCACGACTGCCACACTTGCTCACTTGAGAATATACCGAGGCCTCTCTTTCCCTTGCTGCTTTTTCTATTTTCGTTCTGTGTAATAAGCGCTTCCTTCGCAAGCCCATGCGCCACTGCAACCGTCACTTCCATCCAGTTTTACGATAGTTTTAGGAGATTTTCTGTCGTTTGTTATTCACACGCAATGCTTACAGACCACCGCCCCGCAGAAGAATTAGGCTTGCTTCTGATGGGCCCATGTCTTCTAATTAGGATTATCGCAAAATCTTGACGCGTTGCTATGCATTATTTCAGACCCCAGAACTTCTCAGAGGCAACATTTCGAGTACAAAAATTATGAGTTAAATTCACCGCAGT